CCTTGAATTTTAGTATTTTTTAGCAATTTTACTGCCAGGAAACCATTTTCTAAAAAATGCTGCAGCATGATTCAATGCATTCAGTGGCAGGTTGTGCCCCAATAAAAAGGCAGAGAACAAGCATTCTGCATTAATATCTTTTTAGTCCTCTGTTTCCACAGAAAAACTTAATTCCCCCCCATTACAACTCAAGCTGTCTTTATGTACGCACATGTTTAAGAACATCGGCCATCCCACAGTGCGAAATCAAAAAATCATAATGACAAATGGTACACATTGCAATATTACATTTTCTTAATGAAATAATACAAGGAAAAAGTATGACCTTGTATTTGTCTGTGTAGGTTTTTTGAAAAGTACATGAGTATTTTATATTTTTTGCAGACATAGCTAAGACAAAAAGATTGCAGTTTCTTAAACCATTTCTAGGGAGCACTTATGGATGCTCTGTAGCGAGACAAACAAAATAAGCAACCCTGGTCTTTGTGATCACCGGCTGGCTGACTTACACCAAAAGACACGTAGCGGCACTTGATTCTCATTGGAGAACTTGAATATGCCTTTCGAACTCTCACACACAAAGCAAAAACATGCCATAACTCACTGATGAAACGACTTCGGTTCTTTTTTACATGTATCTAGAGAAAAAAACAAGCACTTTCAGATGCCAAAAATAACTTTTTGGGTGCAAATAATGAAGTTTTAAGCCAAGGTAAATAAAAATTGTGAAAAAATTTAAGAATAAGGGAAAGTCGGGCGAAATATGTTCCAAAGTATGCTTGGAAATCGGTAGAGTTGGCAACTCTAAAACAAGAATTTAAAAAAAAAAAAGGGGGGGGGGTAGAAATTGCTGAAAAATATCAAAACTTACCGTATTTTTTATATTAATAAATTAAAAAAATACTTCACAGCTAAATAAAAGGCTGACTACATCTCTCCATGGTTGATACCCCTGTTCTTAGTCCTAAGTTTATATAAAAAACATATTTTGCTTTAAAAAAAAAAGAGGGCGGGTCTTTAATGATTTAGTAGTTCAAGAAAGCATGTTTTATTTATAATATTTTTGCCATATTATTTGAGGTACTTGGAAGTATTGAATGTGTATATGATGCACAGTGAAACTCTTGATTTACTTCTTTAATTTGAAGGATTGGATTATTCAATTATGGCAAAGTACACGAGGACTATCTGCCTAAAGGGAGGGATGCCTTTGTGGAGGACTTTCTAAGGGAAACTGGCTTGTATACACGTTACACATGAGAAAAACCACGAAAATGCCCATGCAGCCAGCCCGGTTGCTCGAACCGAACTACCAGTGTTCAGCGCCTTTACTGCTCGGCCGCTGGTGGGCTCTTTAATTTGAAGAAATCTGCAGCTGAGACGCATCAATTGCTTCTAGAAGCATATGGTGAGGCTGCCTTAAGTGACAGAAGTTGTCGTGAGTGGTTTCAAAAGTTTAAAAATGATGAATTTGACGTCGAAGACAAAGAACATAGCGAAAAGAAAGTATACGAAGATGTAGAATTAGGATCATTATTGGATGAAGATCTGTGCCAAACACAAGTAAAACTTGCACTTATATTAGGAGTGACTTAGCGATGAATTTCAAATCATTTAAAATCATTGGGAATGATTCAAAATCAAGAAAATTGGGTTCCATATGAACTGAAGCTCAGAAAAATCTAACGCCAATTTTTTACTTGTGAAATGCTGCTTGCCAGGCATAAAAGAAAGGCCGTTTTTTTGCATTGTACAAGGTGTGACACAGAGACAAAAAAAGGAGACTAAGTGTGTAGCTCGAAAAAGAGTGGAGTTAGCAACAACGGTTTTGGTGACATCATCCCACACATCTCCTCTATCCATGAGGCCAGTTTCGACTTAAATGATCACAGCACTTGGGAGTACTGCATCATTGAGTGATCATGTGCAACTGCATTCTGCTGGAAAAAATGTCTAATGTAAAAACCAAACAGTGAAGCAACATCAAGTTTCTTGTGAAACTTAAGATATCAGACACAGAAACATTTCAAATGTTAACTGAGGCTTATGGAGATGAAACTGTCTCGTGCACGTGTATTTGAATGGCATAAGTGGTTTTCAGCGGGAAGGGGCAAAGTACGCATGTCAAAATCAATTCAAGGCAATGTTAATTGTGTTCTTCAACATTAATGGAACAGAAATGGTTGAGTGGGTTCCTAGCAGTCAGACTGTTAACACTACTACATTAAAGTACTAAGACTTCATGAAAGAAATTAGGGAAAGCCACAGTCATGGAGTGATGGATGGCTGTTGCACCAGGACAATGCACCTGCTCACACAGCCATATCTGTCAAACAGTTTCTAACCAGCAAAAACATTACTGTGATGGGGCATCCTCCTTATTCACCTGATTTCGCTCCACATGACTCTTTTTTATTTCCTAAGGTTAAATCTTGCTTAAAGGGAAGCTATTTTACCTCAGTTGAAGCGGTTCATGGAAAAACGGAGAATCTCCTGAAGGGTCTTCTAAAAACCTTGTTCAAGAACTGTTACCAGCAGTGGCAGCACCAAATGCAGAAGTGTGTGAATGCTAAAAGGGACTGCTTTGAAGGTGATAAATGTCACGGAGAACTGACTCTGCAAGTACAATAATTTATTGGACCAGTCTCGTTTTTTTGGTCATCGCCACTAGTGATGAAAAGTGGATCCACTATGATACCCCCCAAAAGAAGAAACTCCTGGATTTACCTGGCCAGACTTCAATATCAACAGCTAAGTTGAATAGTTGGGGGGGGGGGGGAGTTATGTTGTGTATATGGTGGGATCAACTTAGTGTCGTGTATTATGATTTGCTCAAACCGAACAAAGCCTATTACTGGAGCTCTCTACCAAACACAACTGACGAGATTGAGCCAAGGACTCGAAGAAAAGTGCACTCATTACTCCTCCAGACACAACAAAATTATTCTCCTGTATGATAATGTTCATCCACATGTCGCGGCACCCATCAAAACCTACTTGGAAACACTCAAATGAGAAGTTCTGTCCCCCCAATGCATTCCCCAGCCATAGCTCCTTCTGATTATTACTTGTTTCTATTGATGACGCACGGCCTGTCTCAGCAGTGCTTCAATATCATATGAATATACCAAAACTTGGGTTATTTATGGATAGCCTCGAAAGATGAAGTCTTCTTCCTATGCAGTATATCTGTATGCTGGCAAAAAGATGGGAGAAAGTAGTGACTGGGATGGATTATACTTTGAATAAAACATAACATTCTTTCACAATAAAAAATTTTTGATAAAAAAAAAAAAAAAGAAGAAAGCAGCGAAGCCTTATTTGTTCTTTCGATATTACTTTTTATATATTGTTAATAATTATTTATTAGGCCTTTTTAGTAAAAATGAGGATAAAGAAATTCTGTGTCAGAAATCCTTAGTAAAAATTTATCTGGAAATTTAAAGCTCAATATAACTGTTGCAATTCACTGAAGATTGTAACAAAGTACGTAAACCACATTTGGCATTATTAATGCAAACAAATACGCCAAATTTCAAAATGTGACAATATATAAATTCCCAAAGCTCCAATGTTTTTGCAGAGTTGCCTAGAAAGACACCTGTTTTAAGATAATGGTAAACATTTTGCACGTCATAATTCAAATTTAATGATAATTTATAAAAATTATTTAAAAATACAAATTTTTAACATCAGAAAGATAATACAAGAATTTTACTTGAATTAAACATAAATTTCAATTTTATGAAATAAATAAGTTTAATTTAAAAGTCAATATTAATAAATATATGCTAATACTGGAGGGGTGTGAAAATTTTGACTGCTTCTTCTAGAAAAATAGCTGCTGCGATTTGTATAAAATTATGTATTTTGCATAGTTTAAATGCGCAGAACTGAAATATGGGAAAAAAAAAAAAAAAAAAAAGGGAATGTCATTTTAGAAACGTTTGATTTTGTGTCGAAGTAAGCACACTAGAACAACACTATATATAAATCTACACATACAAAGTCATGCTTTTGAGACATGAAAAACAGAAGATGAATTTTGTCAATCAGCTTACTAGAATAAACAGGAGATATAGAACTGTCTCTCTATTTTTTTTAAGAGGTGCACAATCAAACAATTTTGAACAGGCTATTTGACAACAGTGACAAAAGTGATAATCCATAAACCTGTTGACAATTAATTGGCAAAATATCCACATTCATTACTGACATTCAACATGCAGCAAAGATTTCAGATGTTGGTACATTTTTGGCCTTCTATTATATATGAAAGAAGGTAACAAACAACAAGACAAAGAATGGAAAATGTTGATAAAAATAACTTCTGAAATTAAAATCAGAAAGAATCCCTAGAAACTAAGTTATTTTTAAATAAGCTATCAAAAGTTTTCTATTTTTTTCCTTTGTTAATATATGAAATTAAATTTTTGAATTTACAAAAACATAAGTATGAAAAATGCACTCAATTTATTTTATAAGAAAAACAATATTTTTTGGTTATCTGATACCTACTGAAATATTGCCAAAAAATACCATCTGTGACTAATTCTTGTGGGCATTTCACAAGCTTAGATGTTGCTCTGAATTCTTTTGTATAGACATAATTTTTATTTCTTTTTCTATTCATTTTAAGCTTTGTTTTCTTTTTCTTGGAGGAGAGGGACAAAAGGAGTTTGGGAAAGGCTGCCATTTTTTATTATTTAAATGCCAACTTTGAACTTCAGATTGATATCTATGAGCAAAAAAAGTAACATGTGTGGGAGGTAAAATGTATCAGGATGCAGCTCATCACCTTCCTACTTAACAAAGTTCATATAGATAAAGACAAGATCAAAAAATAACAATCTGTTTGATGCCAAATCAATACCTGCCAGATATCAAGAAACAAGATTTCATTGCCAAAAGACTGCCTGCAGCAATCGGTAGGTACTGAATAAACAAGAAATTAAAAAATAAATAAATAAATAAATAAAATAAAATAAAAATTTGCTTACCTCTGTAAGAACGTTTTTTTTCTTCGCGCAGCCTTTCGCTTTTTCTTTACTTCTCTTCCTCTGCGGTGGTCGCTGCTTATCTTTGTCCCTCAACCATCCTTTACGTTCATCCCAACATTTCAGACAATAACGAAGAGGAGGCTTATTTAGCTGGCCACATTTATTACATCTCCATTGATCCTGGGAAATATTAAATCAGAACAATATATTATAGCAAAAATTTAATATTTAATCCTATGAATAAAGCTCTAACTTAATTTCTTAGTATCAATAATTCTATACATTTAGTTCCTATTTTAGAAAAGTTGTCCATGCATTAAATAATATGTTTCTATTACATTAAATACTAAAAATAATTAAAAACTAAACAAGTTTGAAATTTTATTGTATACTCCTTTAAAGGTTCTAATACGATATTTCAAAATATTTATTAAAAAATTACATTAAACACTTTGTGTTAATTTTTAAAAATATTTTAAACAACTTTCTATAGTCTAAAAGAAATTTTAGCATGCATAAAATGAATAACTATCACACATATTTCAAATTATAAATTAGTAAATAATTTATGTTTTTTATCTTTTTACTTCCCTCTTTTTCCTTTTTTTGGGGGGGAAATAGTTAATAAAAAAGCTAAACTATGTAATCAGATTCTTTTAAGGTTTTTTTTTAGAAGGCATGGCAAAATTAAATACAGAAAATAAAACTATGTTTTTAAATACTAGTAAGAGGGAACTGATTACTTGTATGTGTTCATTAATTTTATAAAATTATATTTGCACGCTGATTTTAAGATGACTTGAAATGAAAAATAAAATTATGCCAAATAATTTTTTTTTAAATTCGGACTTACAGATTCTGATATTTCAACATCAAAACATTCATTTTCAGAGGAGCTATCATCAGCCCAAAACTCTATATCACTGTCAGTCCGACAGATATAGGTTATGACTGTCTTCAGCGTTTCCTAAAAGGAGCTCAAGTGTTAATATAACAAAGGCGACATGAATTTACACTAAAAAATGAGCAGTTCACATGGATTACAGGTTCGTATCTGTATAAATTCCATACATGCAATAAAGTTTTAATTTTTTTTTAGTGAAGTAATTTAAAAATAAAAGCATCTGGTACCTGTGTATCAGCCAACTCCCATCAATACACAGACAAAAATATCACTCACGACTCTGTTTTTCTGTAAACATAATGGCAATTCTTGAAGTTGTCCTTGCTTCTAAAAAGATGTGATTTTACATTTCTTTTTTTGGTTAAAGGATGCTTGGGATGGCATCTTTTTTTTCCCCATATATTTTTAACATCAGATTCAGACCAACTAGAACAAGTGCATGGCTGTAATGAATCATTATTTCCTCTGCTATAATCCTCTTCCACTAGCTGTTTCTAAGGATAATGTATAGGCATCTTGTATTAATTTTTACTACACTTTGCATCAAACATTTACTAGATTTGTCAAGAAATGATTCAGGAGCAATCCATTATTTCCATGTATGTAGTATTTTGCTAAAAGTCACAATATTTCAACCCTCACACGATGAAACAGCCCATGACAGAAATGTATATAATGAAAATGTATTTTTTGATTACTAAGGGAGAGTATTCAAGGTTGAGATTCATTACTTGAAAAATATTGTCATCCTTTTATATTTCTATGATTACATTCTAAAGGCTGAAAGATGCGAGATCACCCTAAATAATTTATATATTAATATGAATATATAATAGGCATTTAATACATAACAAAAGTGCATTAACAACTGTCAGCTAACTGCTAAATTAAAAGCTGGGAGCTGAAATGAGGGAAGTCTCATGCCTTCTTATGCAGTTATGTCTAAAAATTTGTTTATACAAATGTGACAACACAAAAATTTATTGCAATTAAATTTTGTTCACACATGTCTAATACTATGAGATATCTAACAGTAACATGAAATAATTACAGAGAGTAGGGGGCATAGAGTAGACTGTAATGGAATGTGGGAGAACACAATATGAGGAGGCATGTAGTTGAGTAATTTAAACGTCTGCATTCTAGAGGTGACTGGAATTGCAGTAGATTGTAATTGGTGAACTTTAGATGAGCTTGATGAAATTCTCCCTTCCGGAAGTTAATAGCATGCTGAAAATGGTGGTAAATTGTCAATAAACGTGCACTTTCCTGTTGCAATCATGTTTTTACTGGTGCATTCTTTAAAGTCTGTACTAAACCTTGTTTTGTATTATGAGGGGGGGGGACCAAAACATGACATCGCATATTTCCAGAATTTTTCAGCTAATAATGAGTATCAACACCCCACACACTTTAACATGCCTCACAACAGGCTCTCATATAATGAATCAGGCTGTTGATCAAAGCTTGTCACAACACATCCCATTCTTCTAAACAAGAAGATTTTAAAGTCCCGAGAGTCCCAACATTATGCAATAGTTTTTCTACAACATCATAAAAATGCTTTATATTATTTAGATCTGCCCACTTTACTAGCTATACATATGAAAAATATCACTGATCAACTGAACTCTGTGTGGCCTGGTGGTATTGTCCTTTAATGTTTTTCATGACAGGCAATTTGCATTGCTAAGCCTAACATCGGGAAAACATTCTCATAAATTAAATTTGTGGCCCAATTATTCCAATTTTTGGCACATTAACACTCAGGTATTTGTCAAAATTAATTTGAAAACTTTATTCATATTTTCCTTGCCATTTGAAATATATATATATAAAAAAAAATACTCTCTATGAGGAATGAACAAAACCCTGAAACAATAAATAGTACATATATTCCCATATCACCTCTCCCCAAAAAAGTTCAGAAGCATTGAGAACATCACTATGGTTTATAACAGCTGACACATGTAATGGAATAAAAGTCTTTATGTTGGAGCTCATGGTCATGGAGCGATTTTCAGAAAATGATATTTTGTGAGATGGTTCTACTTTATGGTGAATGTGGGCGCAAGGCACAATCGGCAATGTTTTTCTGCATGCCTGAATCATTTATACAAAACAATTCTACAGGTCGTGAAACATTTCTGGGAGACAGGATGCATGACTTCGATCCAGCAGACCAGGTAAGGTAGGGCGGAAAGTACGACCAGAAGATGTCTTGTTATACACCCTCACATACTCAAACAGCAACACAAAAAGATATATGTAAAAACTGTGGCCTTTCGAAAAGTCACGCTTGGAAAATCCTAAATGAATTAGGTACTCATCCATACCAGACAACACGTAATCAGGCATTACTGGATAGAGATGTCTAGGGACGTTTCGCAAGGTGCAACTACGTCATGAAGCAGATAGAGGTGCAGCAAAGATTCTTGGCAGATACAGTGACGACGGATGAGGCCTGCTAGCAGAATGAAATGTACAATAGGAAGAACACCAAATACTGGGCATTAGAAAATCCATCATGTTCTGATGATGTTCGACATCTAATATGGGTTTGGGTAACGTTTGGTGAGGAATTTATAATAACAGGCTAATCAGCTTAATATATTACCAAGGTATGTTAACAGCCGCACAACATTTAGAACTTCTGCAAGATACCCGATTTTGTTGATAACATGGCATTGCTTCAACTTCGTAATGAATGGTTCCAATATGACGAAGTGCCTGTGCACAAGATGTCCCAAGTGAAGCAGTACCTGAGAAATTTGGAGAACGAATAATTGCATATGGTGGTTTTGATGAGTGGCTTCCACGTTCACTTCACCTGACCCCAACAGACTTTTTCCCGTGAGGATACCTCAAACAGCACGTGTATATGACTCCTCTACAAACACTGCAGGCCTTTTAATGACGTATTATAGATGCTTATGCAAATGTGTCACCCATTATGCTACGAGTGCAACATGATATTCTAACAAGGGTCTAGATGTGCTTTTCAGGCGAGAAGTTTAAACATCGAAAATAAAGATAGCTTGTGATAACTGTTTTTTTTTTCTCTCTCTCTAAGATCTTTTAGTCACGTCATAGTGTAAAATTGCAAACTAAAAACACACGTTTAAAACGTTCGGTTCTTAACATTCATGTCCACAAGGTATCTTTACACACTAAATCAATGTTACTCTACAAGTTTGTAACTCACTTTTTCTTCCTAATCTCATACCGTTTTTGAGATAGGGATACTAACTTTGCCTTTTTCTACCAGGTGGTGCTGTAAGCTCTCTCATCTAGCAGTGCACAGCCAATTTACTATACCTAGACACCAATTTTATGACTATAGCTGCATTCATTTGGCAGTTAAACAGGTGCTACTGGACTTTAGTGGGAACCCTGTATGTGTTACAATAGTAATAATAAAAAGACTGAAAAGAACAAAAAAGTGTATGCCAACACTTAATGCTGCATCGAGAATTCTATGTTGCTATGCTACTTGTAAAATTTTTGTAATTTTGCTGTTTAATTGTATATGGAGTAAGTATGAAGAAAATGATGCTTAATAATAAAGCTAAAAAATATCTGAATGATTTCAGATTTTAAATTATGTCCAAAGGGGTGTTTAGTGTGTTACCTTTATGTATTAAATTTCATGTTCTTCGCACTTAAACCATAAAATTCAGTTCAGTAGCAATGTCACAAAAATAATTTGAAAATGAGCATATCTTTAGAATTTCCGATACACAGTTCCGCGAGCTGGAGATAAAAAGGTTCTCCCCCCTGTAGAGTGTTACCATTGCTCGCTTTTAAATCGGTGAATTTGTTACTCAAAAATTCATTAAAGTTTTACAAAATATGAAATCGATAATAAAACAAATTCCAAATTTGGTTTTCCACATGCCCATATTCGTAGCAGGATTATGTCATTCAAAATTTGATGGCTCTATATACAGTTGTTTTATCACAATACAAGAAATATGCATACATTTATGCAGATTTTTCATGATTTAATTTCTTCAAATATAATGCAGGACTCTAATATTTGGTGCAATAGTTTGAAAACTGATTCACCATTTATAGTGATTCAATGCAAAACGAAAACAACAGTTCTTCAGGGACAAAGCCCTTTTGGACTAATAATAATAGCAACACCCACTCCCTAACAACTCCCAGAAAGGCCTAAGGCTCAATTATCTCATCTAATTCCACACAATCACAATTTCCTATAATGAAAATAAGCAGTGATATACTTTCCAATACACATATTTTAGTTCGATCAAAATAGCTTCCACTATGTTGGCGAGATTATAATGGAGCGTTAATGAAGAGAACAAAGCTTTCAATTTTGTTACATTCAAGAATGGGTATGCCTTTCTTCACAATAGATGAGCTCTCTTTTGGAATCTGTTGAGGAGATATACCACTGGTCACCAGACTAAAAGGGCTTATATAACAGTGAGGTTCTTCTGACAGCTTGCTCTGTCTTAATCTTTTTAAGGCAGTGGTTCTCAATCTTTTATACTCCTCTTTCACCATAGCCGGCTATTCCCTCCTCATCTCCTTTCCCATACTCAAAAAATATGTATACATTTATTTAGATTACTTTTTATGTGCTTTATAAATTAAACAGGTATAGAAAATGTTGATAAATATCAAAACTGAAGAAAGGTAGCTTTTTTGTACCCATAACACTAAAACTAAATACTTAAGAGATACATAAAAGACTGACCACACTCCCCTCCAAACTACAAAATTCTCTCTCAGGGGGAAATTCCTTCCGGTTGAGATCCCTTGCTCTAAGGCTTCATGCATATAATGTCACTTATTAATCCGTCACAGGTGGTGATGTTCTTGACAAGCCTGCTGGTAATGGTTATCACCTAGTGACGTAGTTTAGAATTTGGATACCACTATTTGAGACACTGGTAATAACCACGAAATCTCCACTTAAATCTGAGCAGCCTCAAACCTACCAATAGTTCTCCACTTTATTTAATTATCTAAACAGTTGTGAGAACCCATTTTAATTGAAACCAGTCTAAATGATTTTTCATGAAACATAATTC